GCCAGCCAGCCAGCCAGCCAGCCAGCCAGCCAGCCAGCCAGCCAGCCAGCCAGCCAGCCAGCCAGCCAGCCAGCCAGCCAGCCAGCCAGCCAGCCAGCCAGAGTTCCTTGTTGATTATTCACATTATCCTGGCCATCTGAGCTTCAGTAACGAGCCAGCGTAGATGGCAGTTGTTGATCAATATCTGTGGTTTGTTGGAAACGCTTTTCGTAACGCGCCAAGTCTCTGAACCATCACATAGAAGCACTGACTCACTTGACTGACATTGGTGTTGCAAATCTGGATGTTGTTCACGCTTTATGCTGAGTGGATTTCAGAAGATCTCCACACTGGTTTCAGGTTAATGCAGGAAGGCCTATCTTGCTATCTTTCTGATCCTAGCTCTGATGTCCTCGTGTATGCCTGTGCCGTCTGTAGTTGAAACAGTGCTGCCTATGTTGGGTGAAAGTGGGCTACTTCCTTTAAGTTTCTCCCATTGATGGTGATTGTAACTTGTTGTTGGTGTTGGTGGTGGTGTTGATTGGGTATCATCATCACCTCTGTCTTCTCTACATCCACTCGAAATCCCGTCTTCATTGGCTGCCCTGCCTCTTCTATCAACTTGTTAGTTTTCACCTGTAGATCTTCGAGTTTGTGTGACATTAGGCACAAGTCATCATTGGTTATATCCAAATCTTCTTGTTTCTTTTCCGCGTTCCAGCGAATCCCCCTCTTCTCACAGCTCCTCACTGTTTTTTGCATGATCCAGTCGAGTCGACCACAATCAGGAATGTCATGAGTGATAGTAGACAGCCTTGTTTTACCCCTGTCTTCACTTCACTTTAAAGGCATCACTGAGCTTCCCGTTGTGAATTACTTGGTATGTGGCGTCTTCATATAGTTGGTTAATAGTTCCAAAAATTGGAGACCAAAGTAACCCAATGACTTATCTACAAATAAATCAAACATTGGAATCAGACAAAAAAACCAAAGTCTAGGAATCATTTCAGGCATGGTACTGTATCCTCAACCAACGTAACTAATAAACTGCAAAACCGGAATCGTTTTGCGTGGGATTATCGCACTTTAAAGGAAGTGAGTATACTAACTAAACAAATTATGATAATCTAGTCAGTGATCGAAGTCGTAGGCAAACTAACATTTTGAAGAAACATTGACTATGCTATTGATTAATTGTCAGTAGTATAATTTTAATCACATAAAGCGTGCTGCAAGCATTTACATCGCTGACGATCTAGTGTGTCTCGTGATTGCTGAACTCGTCTCCATCACTTGCACATTTCATTCTCAGTAACTCGAACTGATTCCATAATTAATAATGATTGGACTTGGAAGAAAGCTTTGTTTTATTAGCTTGCTTTGTCACATTGTTGTCTTATCTTTTACATGGCCTATGAAAGAACTTCGCCTGATTAACTAGTGCACTAGTTACTAGCCGGTCCTAATCCCGGATAAACAGGGAAGCTTGGCATACGGCTACAGACCCTGCCCCGTAAAACCAATCTAACCGCTAAAGAAACTTCAAAACACAGACAAAATACAAAAAATAAAAACAAACTTATTCCTAGCTGGAATCGAAGAGACGAAATGACGCCGGTTGGTGAAAGCATTCGGGAAGCCAATTGACCGATGTGTCCTCTCTTCTCTCAGTGAAATCCAAAGTAAGAATGAGGACATGGAATGTCCACAACATGTATGAACCTACTCAGACTGCCCAGATTGCAAACGAGATGAGAAGATATAGCATAGATGTGCTAGGCTGGGAATCTGCAAGGAATCTGCAGATGGAATGGAAGTCAACTCTTCAAACTGTCAACTGGAGATGAGTCAATAATCTACTCTAATATTGTCACCCAGATGACAACTATGAGCACAGTGAATTTTGGAGTGGTTATCATGATTTCCCCTTGAAGAGGATGGAAGGCTCACTCTCAGGCAATGGGAACCAATCTCCTCCACCATCAGGGTCATGACAGTGAGATTCAACTCGAAGGGAAGGAAAGTCACAGTCATATAATGCTGAGCTGCGCACCTACAAATAATGCAGATGAAGAGAAGAAGGAGGAATTCTTCAGACAAACTGCAATCAGCAGTGGACAAGACCTCAGTTAGTGACATCGCAATTCTAATGGTTGGGGTGACATGAATGCCAAATTGGGAGCGGACAACACAGGAAAAGAACCAATCATAGGTCAAGAGACACTCAGTGAAAAGATAAATGAGAATGGAGAACTGTTTGTAGACTTCTGCGCATTCAACCATTTGGTCATTCGAGACGAAGCAGTGTTTACAGACACAAGGATATTCACAAAGCGACATGGATTTCACCAGACACCGGGACACACTAAAAATCAGATCGATTTCATCTCAATCTGAAGAAAGTGGAGACGCAGCCTACTGGACACAACATCAAGAAGAGGAGCAGATGTAGGTTCACACCATTCACTATCTAGTGCAAGGAACCTTCAAAATTAAGTTGAAAGCCTTCAAAGAAGTTAATGACAGACCACAGTTCAAAACCCAGAACAGAAACTGAACTGAAGTACAAAAGTACAAAGGACGTCTTCACGTCCGCCAGTCATCAAGAAAAAATGAGAGACATTGAGGAAAATCCCTGAAGGAACCTGCATGGAAAAACACCGGAAATCTTTGAAAGCTATGTGGAAGGAAACCTGCATAACCGTGTTAGGAAGGAAGAAGAATCAAGGCAAGACAAGGAATGGATGTCGACGGATACCTGGAAGCTGATAGAGGAGAGGAGGATGGTGAAGCAGAAGATAAACCAGTGCAAGAATGCTCAACGACAAGAGGAACTGAGTACAATGTATAAAACACTGGACAAAGAAGTGAAGAAGAGTGCACGGAAAGACAAAAGACACTTCTACGAAACACTGGCAAGTGAAGCAGAACAGGCTGCTGGTAAGAGAGACTTGACAACATTGTATCAAATAACCAGGTTACTACCATGGAGGGGAGAGATCATCACAGATGAAACCGATACAAGATGATGAAGGAAATCTAATTACCAAAGAAGAAACAAAGGAAAGGATGTGCTGATCACTTCAAAAAACTCTTGAATCAACCATGTAACCCACCTTCAACTAGTCTAGAAGTACCACCAGCAGTCCAGCCACAGAATTACAAGTGAACTCGAACCCTTTGACAAAAGCAGAAGTGAAGTACTGAATGCCATAAAGCTGCTGAAATTTGGGAAAGCAGCAGGACCAGATGCAATCCCACCAAAAGCACTGAAAACGGATGCAGAGTCATCGCGAGCGGACATGCTCACACCACTACTGCAGAAGGTTTAAAAGGAGGGAAAGTACCTGGCAGCTGGAAGAGGGGTTACCTTGTCAAACTTCCAAAGAAGGGAGACCCAAGACTTTGCAAGAACTGGCACGGAATCACACTCCTGCCCACCCAAAGCAAGCAAAATATTATGCCGCATCATCCTGCAGAGACCAAAGGATGCGCTGGACTCAAAATTACGACCAGAACAGGCTGGCTGGATTCAGGAAGTACAAAGCATGTGCGGACCAGATTGTAACGCTTCGCATTATCATAGAACAGAGTATAGAATGGCAGTCAACCCTCTACCTCAAGTTCATTGACTTTGAAAGGCCTTCGACAGCGTCGACAGAGAAGCAATTTTGCAGTTGCTTCAATACTACGGAATACCACAAACCTTTATCAGCCTCATTCAACAACTATGTAAAGACGCTATATGCCAAGTGATTGAAAATGGGAAGCTCAGTGATGCCTTTGAAGTGAAGACAGAAATGATTAAAACAAGATTACCGCCTTCTATCACCAGTCATCTTCCTGACTGTGGTCGACTGGACTGCACTGGATCATGCAGCAAACCCTGAGTAGCGAGAAGATGGGCATACGCTGGCTGGACCAATGGAAAGACCCTAGCAGATTTGGATTACGCCGATGATTTTCATCTAATATCGTACAAGCTCGAAAATCTACAGGTGAAAACTAACAAGTTGACAGAAGAGGCAAGGCAGCGATGACGTGACTACCTTCAAGTGAGTGTAGAGAAGACAGAGGTGATGAAGTTATCCAACAAACAACAGCATCAACAACAAGCACCAATCACAATCAACAGGAAAAATCTAAAGGAAATAGTCGCTTTCACCTACCTAGGCAGCATCGTTTCAACTACAGGCGGTACAGGTACAGATGAGGATGTCAAAACCAGGATCGGGAAAGCAAGACAGGCTTTCATTAATGTGAAATCAGTGTGGAGATCTACTGCACTCAGAACAAAGAACAAGATCCAGATTTTCAACACTAATTTATTCAAGTCAGTGTTTGTACATGGTTCAGAAACTTGTTGCGTGGCGAAAAAATGAAAACTTGTAGGCAGTGGTGGAGCCAGGTTGAAAAGACTGGGGAGAAAAGAGTGAAATGGTGACGTGCTAATGAAGCCGCATGTTCCACTAGGAACTTAAGGGATCAATAATAATAATAATAATAATAATAATAATAATAATAATAATAATAATAATAATATAAGAACAACCGTTAAAAGTATAGAGTATTGAACACTGAACGCTGACCTTGATGAAAGTAAAATCGAAACAGACGGAACAACAGACGTTTTCTTTAATTTCATTGGTTGACTGCTTACGCTGAATTTCAACCATGAAATCTAATTTAAGATGCAATATGTATGAAAGAGATAAATTTCTGGAACTTATTTTGAAAACCACTGAACTGTTAGATAAAGTTACTTCAGACACATAACAGCATAGAGTGAATGGATTGTTGAACTAAATGACTGAATTCAGTGTATGCTTTTGCCTCATTTCCGATATATCTCATCAGATTTAACTAATGAAAAGCAAAGCTATTTATAAATTCATATTCGCGGGAAAAATTGGCGCCATTTTTGTTTAAACAAATCAAGTGAGTAAAATAATTAAGTTATTCAAGGCAAGAAATCTGTTTAACTATATACAATAAGCATAAATGACGTTTACATGAATTACCTCAGCTGTTGTTTGATGTATAAGCAAATTCTGTTGTCTTTTTTCATCTAATTTTACTGCCCTTTCAATTGCTAATCCCTTATATCTGGTGAAAATATCTTCTGAACATGGTGTATTGAAGCGTTGATAGCATAATTCAGGAGTTTTTGGTGTGTTTAACAGAATGTTCGATCTTGGGGATATGCTACTGTTGAAGGGTAGAAAAAAGGTCCAGTCGATTACAAAACTGAAAACATTTAACTCATACAATTATTGAATTGGAGTTTGTTTTATATATTAATTTATCCGTGGTTGGTATATCAGGGTCAACATTGTTTCGAAGTCACTTCAGATGTTCCTTAGTCAATCTTCATTTGTTTGTCATTTGAATAATGTTTAAAAGAAAACCTGACGTCAATGAATACTGTCTCCATGGCATTTCAATCTCACTTAGAACCAGTAGGGCAGTCTCTTTACCCCTCAGCAACTAAGACTATCTGAATCTCAGTGAGTTATACTATCCTCAGTATCTATCGCCTAAACACTGGTTCTTCCGGTCACTTGGCTACTATGAAGCTAACATAATCCAGTCAGTTTGGCTAGTTCCTTTACCTATTAGTCATTTCTTCAGAAGCTTTTATTAAAATGTGAAAATAACTTCTGATTCGCTTAACAAGTTAATTCAATGTTCACTGTAATCAGTGGTAGCGCACGATTCAAATAATTCGAAGGCGTTTTTTTAAATGTAGAAGTTGTGATCAGCATTTTATGACTGAAACAGACCAACTTTTGTAACCAGTCTAAGGCAAGTAGGTTCAAAAGATTTAGTAGGATCAATAAATGACCCAGTAGCTGAGTAGTCAACATATTCGCCGTGAAACCTGAAGGTCCTGAGTTCGATCCCTAGGTGCGTACTGCAGAGGAGTCCCGTACTGGGACGAAACAGCTGTCCAGTACTCCCAGATTCTGAATGGTTCCCTAACTGATGTCAGTCCATGATGAATACTACTTCGAAATAAAAATCCTCATTCATCTCAAAAATATATTACTGTATAGTGCTCATTAGTGACTTGCTTCCAGATGGATATCACGAAGCTCGAATGAGAATTCGTAACCGGTGGGGATAAAGCCTGATGGTCATGAGGTCAGTTACTCAACAATGACATTGGGTGGCAGTTGCGCTATATCGTGAGCTAACAAAAGTTGGAAATATGGACCGTCGGATCCTTAACCACTGGCTCAGTTATGTGGTGGCGACAGGACCTGAAGGTCGCAGGTTCGATCCCTGGTGGTGTGGGGTCGTGGGTGCGCACTGCTGAGGAGTTTCGTACTACGACGAAATAGCTATCCAGTGCTCCCAGGTTTCCTTTGTCCCTCCAACTGATATCAGTCCACGATGAATAACAACTTGAAATATTTGAGCTTGTTACATTTCTTTTCTAAGATTAGAAATGCAAATAGATGTCTAAAATGAAATTCTGGTCAACATTCGGACCTCGCACCTCAGTTGGTAGAGCATCAGGCAGATAACGCGGTGGTCGCTGGTTCGAATCCAGCCGCGGTCCTGATTTTCATCTCACCTTCAATCATCACCTAGTACAAATACTATTCTGCTAAACTATGGCTATCTCATATAGTTAAATCAGATATCTAAATGTTTTTGAGCGTCATTTGATTTATGTTATTGTTTATAATAGTAAGGCACAAAGAAAAAAAACTACAACACTTTACAAGTAACATAACATATATCTTAATAGCTTGTTACAAAATATAGAATTTAAAGTTGATTTGCACGTGTTGTCTGTTAAATTTTATAGTATATCTGCTTTATATGCAGTAAATCAGTTTCTGTTTGTTTAAATCTGTGTATACTTGAAGGGATGGACTATTTTTTTTAAAAACACACAAATTTTGAAAAAAGCGGTAGAACTTCAAGGTCATATATTTTAGATATTAAAACATTTACAAAAAGGGTGTATAAATAGACTGAATTATGTAAAACTTGAAATAACAATGTATGGATTTATGTAAATATAGTATTAAATGAATGATTGTTTGAAATGTTGGATACACTTAGTGATTTGCAGTTACATAAACCAAAGCTGTTAAAAAATTCTGTGATTACTCGAGTATTAAAGGTTAGATTAATTGTTTAGAAGTTCATTTCTACTCATCGATTCGAAAAAGCTTCACTTACTACGCACATTGTGGTAAGCGATATATTTGGACGCGTAAAGCAAGTTTCAACTATCTTAAACTGTTTAGACCTCAGTTTTTGAAAGTAACTTGTCTTTGTATACTATTAGCTGGAAAATTTCAAGCAAATAGAGATTTCTTATGTGATTTGATACGAAGAGTTCTGTATGGTGAGGTCTTCGTTTGGCATTTAGTACTAATTTATTAATAATAAAGTGAATTTTTGAACATTACTAGACTCCAGATCTTACAAACTGTAGTAAAAAAGGAACTTGTTCATCGTGATCGCATACCGAAGTGTATCTTAGTTATGTACATATAAACTAAGCTTCTGTTCGTATACCCGCTTAATTGTTAAATGATTCATATAACGTTGTACAACTATTCTGCATCCACACATGTATACTCTTTGAATAACAATTGCACCGTCGATGTAATTCAGTAGTGACCTGCTTAGAGCTAACGCTACAAAACTTCACCGAATTGAATTGCTTTCTGTCAGTACGTTTTAAGCTTTAAATAATGCCTTCTTCACTGTCGCACATTTTTCAAGTGTTTTCAACCACCTACCACTTTGTAAGAGAAGACAGAAGTGAAGAAGATACCCAACCAACAACAAGCACCAATCACCATCAACAGGAAAAATCTGAAGGGAGTTGACTCTTTCACCTACGTACCTAGGCAGCATCGTTTCAACTACAGGTGATGGCGGCGGAGGCGCATAGATGAGCATGTTAAAGCCAGGATCGGAATGACAACAATACAGACTTTCATTAATCTGAAATAATCAGTGTGGAGATCTACTGCACTACACTCCACTCCACTCAGCATAAACCGTGAACAACATACGGATTTTCAACACTAATCTCAGTCAACTAAGTGCTTCTGTATGATGGTTGAGAGAGTTGGCACATTACGAAAAGCATTTCCAACAAACTGCAGACACACATCATCAACAGCTGTCGTCTACGCTCACTCGATACTGACACTGAAGATCAGACGAGATGGTCAGAATAATAAGAATAAGCAACAAGGAACTCTGGCTGGCTGGCAAGAAACCAACGAATTAAGAACCTTTCGTCCAACAAATATGCAGTGTAAGGAAGTGGAGATGGATTAGATTGGACATACACTGGAGAAGACCATTTAGGGATATCATGCACCAGGCCGAGCCCTCGAGTGGAATTCGCATGGGAAATGGTGATCTGGGCGTCCGCAGTGACGGTGACATGGAGGTGGTCGTGTGAGGAAGAAATGAGAGGTTGTGGGCAGTGGTGGGGCCAGGTTGAAAAGAATGCAGAGAAGAGAGTGAAATTGCGATGTACTACTGAAGTCCTGTGCTCTGCTAGGAACCCAAGGGGCAAATAATACCATTTTGTAAGTCAACAGTTGAATAAAACAAAAATAGTGTGACCAGTGGAAATCAACTTTAAAATAAGCAACAATACATCATACTACCACTTCTAAAATAATTTGCTGAAGCCGTAGATTTTCGCTTAAAAATATCGTACAAGGAGTAAATTTGTTAGAGAATTATATGCTGAGATTTTTATACTTTACCAACCACAATGTATGGAATAAAATGATTATTGTTATTATTACTATCGATAAAATCAATTTCGGAGCTGATTATCTTTGACATTGATATCGACACGCATTTAAGGTTGGTTAGATTGATCATTTTTGAATACAACGGTGTCAATACTTCAGTTTCTCAGTTGAAACGTATCTGGAGGCATAGATTACTGGAGGGAAACTTCTCATGAGTGTAGGCCAACAGTGTAACAAATCGTTTACTGGGATATTTCGATGTGTTTTATACTATGTAATACTTTTGAGTTGAATGAATCTCTACTCATCCACCTGTAGCGTAATTTTTCACCGAGTTGTTGAGTTAAAATTGTTTCTCATTACGACAGAGAGTAAATTCGTATTCTGTAATCAATAATCGTTTCAGAAGGTAGTACAAATGAACAACTTGAATAGTGAAAAACCATTCATGCTGATTTATAGGATTTGCCAGAGATCAAAGTAATGTGAACACCGCATGACCGTTTCGCTCATTTGTCGTCGAGTTGATTCGTTAGCGGTATACCTGGACAAACTGAGCTTATACAGCTGAATTAGATCAGACCGTCTGAAACTGGTTATCTCACTTGGTATTCATCATGGACTAGCATTAGTTGGAGGAACATTGGGAATCTGGGAAACCCTGGACAGTGGTTTCCTCCTCACCAGTACGTACTCATCAATGCAACAGGGGTCGAACCAAGGACCGTCAGGTGTCATGGTCACCACGTTACCATTAAGCCACTGGGTCGGAATTCAGTGGTAACATGCTGGCAACGGAACTCGGTGGTCTTGAGTTCGATCCCCGGTAGGGTTGGGGATACGCACTGGTGAGGAATCCCATACTAGGACGAAACAGTTGTCCAGTGCTCCCAAGTTTCAAGTGTCCCTCCAACTGATACTGACACTGAGCTGAGTGTATAAAAATGAATTGCGGGAATTTGGAGGTGTAAATATTATTCAAAATTCAATATAATAGTAGAGGTGATTTGTCATGATAGTGGAACAATACAATCTCGTCGTCCTTGAGTGACTCATAAATGACCTTGAAAGCACCAATAGAGAAATGGCTGTTGGTTGTCGATGTTAAATCGAGAAGTAAAAGAAAATAATAGTAGATATAGATGTTTAGAAACTTATCTAGGTTTTCGAATGTTTCTTTTAACTAATAGTGAAGGTAAGTATGATAAACAGAACAGCTATTGTTTTGCTGCTTTATTCTAAAATAGTAAAGTGTTCAACTTATCATTTAAGTAAACTGGAATATGGACTTCTTGTCCATAATTGAATTCTTTCATGGAAATGCAAGCATATGGACGTCTTCCAAGAACTAGCAAATAGTGAGCGATAATCATGTAAGAAATATTTCTCTTCGATTCAGCTGAAAGTATCATCATTAAAGTTGTGCATAGACATATATGTATATAATCAGCGACATGGATTCAATAATTCTAAGCTATGAAGAACGACCGCACAATCACGTACAACGTGATTGGTCACTTCAAGGTCGTCTGATATATATACACATATATATATGCCAAATTGTGAAATAAGTTAGCGTATTTCTGAATTTAAATTGTGGAATACTCACGCTGAATTCACGTTAAACTCATTAACATCCGGAAATTGAATCAAAATACTGTTTGATATTTCGGTTGTTTTCTTTTGCTATAAATAAGTAAAAAACTGGCAGTCATAATTTGAATAGTTGCATAAGTATTATCGATAATTTGAATATGCACGGTACAGTTTTACAAAAAGACGAGTTAATTGAGGGAACAACTATGTTCTTAAGGTAGATAAACGGTGAAAAGTATGTTGCAGCTCATCAGCAGATTACCTTTTCAACAGTCACCTGCTTACAACTCTACACCAGACTTCTGCTTTACTCACATGGTGACACCACGAAACATGGCCTAGGCTATGAAGGAAGTGGTGAACAAACACCTGAAGCCTTCTCATGGCTTTTAACTTTAATGCCCATGTTTTGCATAGAACATAGCGCACTTCAGCACAGTACGCTTGGTCCTTAAAGGACAAACGGATATCACAGTGACACTACAGATGGCGTAAGTTGGCAAAACGTCAACCAAGCCTTTTGTATGCCTGCAGAGATTTCGTCGGCCACTGACCGACACACCGGAGCTGATCCAGCTTCCCAGTAAAATGAAGTGTTCAACACACTAAAACACTTCACTCTCTATTATTATTCAGTGTACCGTTGAAGACCAATCCTGGAGCAACAGCTTACACTTATGTGACGAGAAATGCATCCCAAACATTCTCAAATTGCCAATCAAAGTGTCCAGAAGACTCTGCACCTTGTCAGCGTCTTCGCCGAACAGGACTAGATCGCTTGCGTATGCTAAGTCTATTTTAGTGTAGTGAGATTGTGACAAGGAGACCTCCTTAAGAAAGTCTATGATAAAATTGAATAAGAATCGAGGGAGTGGGCATCCTTGATGAACACCGCTCGACGTACACAACTCATCCGATATCTCATCATAGGCTGTAACACGACCACAGGTGTCCGAGTAAAGAGCCTTCAATAAGATGATGTACTTACTAGGTATCCCTTTCAAAGAAAGACACTGCCATAAGAATTCTCGATCAGCGGAGTCGAATGCCGCCTTCAGGTCGAGAAATAAAGCTGCTGTCGAGCATCGGTAGGCGTACTTGTGTTCCAGAACCTGGTGGAGTGTGAATGTTTAGTTGATACACGCATGGCCAGGTCTCAGACCTGCCTGGTTTTCTTGGGCTTGATGTTCTCGAACTCTAATTAGGCGTCTTATGATTATGGAATTTAGAACCTTAGACACTATATTCATCAGAGTGATTCTTCTGTGGTTATCACAAGAGGACTTCTCGTTATTCTTGAAGACTAGGTTAGTTAGTGATTTAGACCAGTCGGAAGGAATCAAATCTGATTCCCATACACCACTACTTAACATTTCAGTTAACTTGACTAAAACCACTACACCACTCTCCTTATATACCTCAGGAACTAGTTAGTCTGGTCCTTCTACCTATCCTCGTTTCAAGTTACCTACCGTTTTCTCGACTTCTGCAAGTTTTGACGGACCTATCCTACTGGACAGCATGCTGACCTATAAATCTTCTCTATCATCTTTATAAAAGATGTCATTTTCAGGTCAAAGAAGTTTTATTTCATGCTGAAAGCGAGTTATTTGAGATAACATTCTGCTGAATGAAAAATTGTTCAATAATTTGAAGTTTGTATACATTTCACCATGGACAATCAAATGTCTTTTTGTGACCAAAAACTTATCAGTGGTTTACTCGGATGAATTCATCTCAGACAGCTTGGTTGTTCAAAACACATGAATTTCGGAAACCTAATTTGGCCGACTAATAATAACTTAGGCGCTGAGAGCAGATGCAGGGAGAACAGCGGAGAGGCTCACACCACTATTGCAGAAGGTCTGGAAGGAAGGGAAGGTACCTGCCGATTGATTAGAAGCAGGGCTACCTAAGTCACTGCAAGAACTGGTGCGGAATCACGCTCCTGTCTACCTCCAGCAAAATATTGGACCGCATCATCCTGGAGAGACTAAACAATCCTCTTGATTCGAAATTACTACCGGAACAGGCTGGCTGGCTTCAAGAAGAACAAATCATGTGCCGATCAAATTCCAACGCTACGCGTCATCATAGAACAGAGCATAGAATGGCAGTCAACTCTAGCTCATCTTTATTGACTTTGAGAAGGCCTTTGACAGCGTCTACCGAGAAGTAATTTGGCAACTGCTCCAACAGTACGGAAAACCAAAAACATTTATCAATCTCATTCAGCAACTATATGAAGACGCCACATACCAAGTAATTCACAACGGGAAGCTCAGTGATGCATTTGAAGTGAAGACAGGAGTAAAACAAGGCTGTCTACTATCACTCATGATATTCCTGATTGTGGTCGACTCGACTGGATCATGCAAAAAACAGTGAGGAGCTGTGAGAAGAGGGGGATTCGCCGGACCGTAGAAAAGAAACTAGAAGATTTGGATATCACCAATGATGACTTGTGTCTAATGTCATACAAACTCGAAGATCTACAGGTGAAAACTAACAAGTTGATAGAAGAGGCAGGGCAGCCAATGAAGACTGGATTTCGAGTGGATGTAGAGAAGACAGAGGTGATGATGATACCCAATCAACACCACCACCAACACCAACAACAAGCTACAATCACCATCAATGGGAGAAACTTAAAGAAAGTAGCCTCTTTCACATATCTAAGCATAACTGTCTCAACTACAGACGGCACAGGCATAGACGAGGACATCAGAACCAGGATCAGAAAGATAGCAAGATAGGCCTTCCTGCATTAACCTGAAACCAGTGTGGAGATCTTCTGAAATCCACTCAGCATAAAGCGTGAACAACATCCAGATTTGCAACACCAATGTCAGTCAAGTGAGTCAGTGCTTCTATGTGATGTTTCAGAGACTTGGTGGGTTACGGAAAGCATTTCCAACAAACTACAGATATTGATCAACAACTGCCACCTACGCTGGCTCGTTACTGAAGCTCAGATGGCCAGGATAATGTGAATAATCAACAAGGAACTCTGGCTGGCTGGTTGGCTGGCTGGTTGGCTGGCTGGTTGGCTGGCTGGTTGGCTGGCTGGTTGGCTGGCTGGCTGGCTGGCTGGCTGGCTGGCTGGCTGGCTGGCTGGCTGGCTGGCTGGCTGGCTGGCTGGCTGGCTGGCTGGCTGGCTGGCTGGCTGGCTGGCTGGCTGGCTGGCTGGCTGGCTGGCTGGCTGGCTGGCTGGCTGGCTGGCTGGCTGGCTGGCTGGCTGGCTGGCTGGCTGGCTGGCAACTAACCAACGAGGCAAGAACCTATCACTCAACAAATATGCAGTGTAAGGAAGTGGAGATGGATTGGATTGTACATGCACTGAGAAGACCATTCGGGGACATCACGCACCAGGCCAGGCCATCGAGTGGAATCCAATGGGGAAAGCGACGGGTTGGGTGGGCATCAGAAGTGAGGGTGACATGGAGGAGATGGTGTGAGCAATCAATGAGAGTTTGTGGGCAGTGGTGGAGCCAGGTTCAAAAGATTGCAGAGAGCAGAGTGGAATAGAGACGTGCTACTGAAGGTGTATGTTCCATTAGGAACCCAAGTGACAAATAATAATAAGAATAATTGACTGACCTCTACAATGGTTTATAAACTTCAAAGGATATGCTTTTTCGATAAGTAATTTGATTAGTAACCTGCTGTTTTCGTCGATTGAATTGAACTTCTGTTGGATTCGACAAAATGTGTGAAAGTTCATATACTGTTCTGCTTGTGTAGGCTTTCCGTAGACCAACCGTCTAACTAGATCATCTTCACTGTGTTTTCAGAGTATCTCTAAGAATGGCAGCTGATTGTTCGTCGCGTCTTTGTGTGTCGAGTTTTTTTAATAGACAGATGGTATCTTTATGCTTGTTACAAACCACTATGATGTCATCAAAATATCTCCTGTTAAGAATCATTTGAGCGGTAAGATCACCAGTCAGATTTTAGATATTTAACATGTAAACATCAGGTTGCTATAGTTCTGAAAGACTTCACATAGTTATACTGTCAGCTTCTTCAAAGTATTCACCTTCAACTATGAAATAAACTTTATCGGGATATGACAATTAAAGGTGCTTCAGTAAAGTTGGAGACATATGAAATAAGAGGTCGTTGCATTAACTAAATAGAATTGAAATATCTAAAAGGGTTACAAGTTTACTGACACTAGTCTGACAAGATCAGTACAATGATCAGTTTGAAAGAAAAACATTTCAAAGGATATTTATCCCATGAACCTTGATGAACTTAAGACCTACAGTTTGAATGCTTATTCAACTCTACTCTTGAATGTAAAAGTTCAGAATTGAAATCAAAAGGTGTCGAATCTGCTGGGATGAATTTGGGTTCAGAGGATGCTCGGAGTACATCTGCAAAGCTATGATCAGAAACGTTATTGGTCTTAAATAGGATAGACAGTTAGATATTAGAACTGGTTACATCTATTTAACAGTCAAAGAAACTTGTCAATTGTTATTTTGAAGTAAAACGGATATTACTACATACTCAATTTTGACGCTCCAGGGATATACTACATAGAATTCTACCATTCAACAAAACTCAGTATTCATCACAGAGTGACATCAGTTGGCAAAACATTGAAGACCAAGAAGGACTAGACCGCTATTTAGTCCTAGTATCGGACCCTCAGGAATCGACGCCGACGGCACTATCACAGATCAAGGCCACCACAGTCAGGTCTGGTTACGATCTTGCCACTCAATTGGGGTCCAGTAGTCGATATTTTCCTACTTTAGTCAGTTCGTGATACACTGTGACCATCATCTGATGTCATCGGTGAGTATTTGTCCTTACATCGAACTTGAATGATCCGTCAAGTCGCAGCTTTTTATTAGAACTCCAAGAAATACATCAAGGATGATATCGCACACTGAGAAAAGTAGGAAAATGTGCACCACTGGATTTTCACCCAATAGTCCTTCATTTCGGTCCCTGGAGGGTCATGGGTGTGTACTGCTGAGCACAGTCCCATACTAGAAGGAAACAGCTGTCCAGTACACCAAGGTTTTCAATGTTTTTCCACCTAACGTCAGTCCACAATGAACATCGCCTTGAAACCAATAAATCCGCACAAAACTCAAAACTGCATCATGGAATAGTAAATCCCCGAATATTCTAGTAGGAAATAATAATCTACGGAAAAGGTTTAAGTTAGTGGCATCAGCAATTAGCCATTAACAAGTCAAGAAGACTATTTGACTGATTGGATCAATTCGCAAGTGGCAAGCATTTCGGAGTTGGCCCTTCAAGGCGCAGCCAGGTAGTTTCGAAGTTTGTACTACTGACCTGGAGAACCGGAAACTGTGTGTGCCCCGGTGATAACCAGCTGAAACTAGTTACGCGACGAGGGTGAGCTCCCATGAGGTCCCACTGGATATCAACTAATCCACCGTCAGAGCTAATTTGGCGGCAAACGCAGTCGTCGAGATCTGTATACATGGATCAGTTGTGTGGCTCTCCAAAGCATGGACGGTCTATCTAACCAACAGGATTCCGTCCAGTGAGCTTGAAGCAATGCAGACAAAAGGTGAAGAAATCCAACTTCTTTATTCTGATATTTATTGGCGTAGAAACAGTCTTTAGACAAGGGGTGTTATTTGCCTTAGGAAGATGAATGGCACTCGGTTTGGAATGCTGAGCGTCATTCACTCCAGTCTTGGCTGTAACTCAATAGCCAAAAACGAACCACTACTTTGGATCAGCTGACATTATTAATTAAATAACAAGATCTCCTAGTGGGATGTATTTGCGAGAAGACTGAGTTACATTTCTTTCTGCATGACTATAAGGACAGTGATCCGCATCCCACACACGTCTGCTCACGGGATGATAGTACGATTAATAAACGTATCACTCAGTGGATGTGAATGCATTGAAACCTAATACTTGGGACGGTACTGGGATTACAATCATCGATTTTCAAGGGTGGTTAACATATTGCTCAGGAAAGAGTGTTTCTTGTTCCATTAGGGGATAACATCCAAACAGACCACCTCCCATTTGGGACTAGGAACCGAGCCAAAAATTAGAATAAAGCTCTCTTATCTACTCGTCACTATTTATATAGATCTGTATATTAACAAACAATAAATAGAATGTAGAAACTTACTAAATCATTATTTTTCCAAAAATCTTGAAAAACTTCTCCTTCAAATTGTATCTGAGGAAATTGGCATACAATCTGTTTCATAATTCCTGATGTTATCTAATCAATTTTTATCTTAGTTAATTAGTTGAGCACATTTTATATGTGAGTAGGTTAAAGTGTTGTTTTAACGTCTTCAATACTATAATTTTTGCATAAATCTTAACCGAATATCAATAATAAAATTCAGTCTTTTATCCGTCTCATAAATCGCAAAGTAAGAACTTTATCAATAAGGTGTACAAGTAACAATGAGCTTCCGATCTATAATAGTTTCTTTGTATAAATCACTAACACTGATTACCAATTATTTGTTGAACATTAGGGGGTTTTTATTCGAAAAAAAAGAAATCAATAAAGTGTTAATTGACCTTATCTTCATTGTTTTGCTGATTAATAATTTATCGGTTTACTACATTCATTATTAACTGAGTTTTTCTGTGCTGTATATTGTTTTATTTTATTTTTTTTCAAGGTTGGCAGTTTTTGTCTTTTCTATAGTAATGATAGATAGTGGCTAGCAGTGGAATCCAGCTTGATATGAGTTTCGTCTTATTTGGGACTCATCAGCGGGATGTACCTATCGGCTCCCAGTGAGTGTTGTTGTTCCCAACGGGATCCAATCTCACGAGCGATCAATTCAAACGCCAGAGCGTTATCCATTACACCATCAAGCTAAGATAGCCACTTCTTGTGAAACGAGTATAGTGTTTTACTGTTATTGCTTGTATCATACCGTTTTCGATTGGACCAAATTGATCAATCTCTGCTTGTATATGGGCTTCTGTGTGGACGCCTCGATATTGCCTGCCTTGGGATAAACTATTACCGCAGGTACACTGACGACAATATTTGTTGCTTCTAACGAGTTGTTTAACTAGCTCAATGATACTCATTATAGTAATTATTTTTCCCTTGGGTTCCTAATGGAACATAGGGCTTCAGCAGAACGTCTCCAGTGCACTCTGTTCTCTGCAATCTTTTGAACCTGGCTCCACCACTGCCCACAAACTCTCATTTATTCCTCACACCATCTCCTCCATGTCACCCACACCTCTGACGTCTAACTCGTCGTTTTCCCCTTTGGATTTCACTCGATGGCCTGGCCTAGCGCGTGATGTCCCCGAATGGTCTTCTCAGTGCATGTACAATCTAATCCATCTCCACTTCCTTACACTGCATATTTGTTGAGTGATAGGTTCTTGCCTCGTTGGTTCGTTGCCAGCCAGCCAGTCAGCCAGCCAGCCAGCCAGCCAGCCAGCCAGCCAGAGTTCCTTGGTGATTATTCACATTATCCTGGCCATCTGAGCTTCAGTAACGAGCCAGCGTAGGTGGCAGTTGTTGATCAATATCTGTAGTTTGTTGGAAATGCTTTTCGTAACGCGCCAAGTCTCTGAACCAGCATGTAGAAGCATTGACTTGACTGACATTGGTGTTGAAAATTCGTATCTTGTTCTTTGGATCCAATTAACTACACTAATATATTTTTATACTTTTAGTATAATTGTTTTTATATCATACCGTCGTTGATTGGACCGAATTGATCAGTCTGTATTGGCATATGTACTCCTGCTCGGATGCCTCGATAATGATGGGTAATGGCTGGGAGTGGAATCCAGCTTGATGCGCATTTCATCCTATTTGGGGCTCTTGTCTTTTTCAATAATTGAATTTAAACGTCCTGAATATAACACAAGACAGACACTAACAAAAAGTAATGTTTAGTGAAAATAAAAATGTTCAACTGTGAGCCAAATGTCATTAGATCTGGCCTAGGATGATCTTGAGAGATGGATACTTGAAGTAATTGCCTTCTGGTGTGCGTTTATTTGCCACTAGTTGAACAATCTATTTGAAAAGCTCCAAGTTCCTACATAAACAAGCTGGTGGGTAGATGTACTTTTCAAGTATATAAATCATAGAATGTAAACTACTCAAAGGGATAATGATGAGTTTTTGGAAAACTTGAAGTTGAGTCAGACCAACATCTTAGTCGGTATGGATAAAGGTGCGTCTAATGATAGCAAAGCTTTTAATATGACATGTAATCGCTGATGGATAATGCTTGTAGCATTCGTGGATCGTCGATTTAGTGGATAATCCTCTATCGTCTGGAGCGATCGGTCTCGAGTTCGACTCCCTGTGAAAACAACGTCACGCAAGGGTAGGCAGGTACGTCCAGCTTACGAATCCTAAATGGGATGAAACGATTGTCCTGGATTCCACTGCTAGCTACTATCCGTCATAATTGAATCATCTAGCTTACAGAATGCTGTAGTATTTAACGCGTTCATTCATCTACGTCACTTACTCAAATCTTCCATATCATTTTCATGAAGTATTTGTGTAAATCAATATGAACAAGCTTTACATTTACAAAATAGGCAACTTCTCATATTCACAGTTTGTTTTTCTTTAATATAAAGTTTATTCGCATCCACAGTCGCACATGAGACCACATGCCAATAACTGCCGAATAGCTTGTTTCATTCCACGACGAAAAACTATAACTTATAGCAACAAACTATACCCGTTGCTCAAGTAGAAGCTATAGCGACTCATTCACCTAACATATTACCCACCAGTATTTGAAGTGATTGGTCCTGGCTTCCAGTCTTGGTGGAGGAGAACGTCGCTCACTGGGAAACAGATTGAACGTACCACAAATGAACAAGTATCATCAGTTTCGAAATTGAAAAGTATAGTGAACTACAGATAATATAATTCAGGATTTATTGTCTAATCTGATTGGGGATGAATGGATCTAAAGTTAGTATTCATCACGAACTGATATCATTTAAAGAACTATTGAAAACCTGAAAGCATTCATTAACTGTTTGTTCATAATGTGAGACTCCTCAGCAGTGCGTAAACATAACTCCACAAGGAATTGAGTCCATCAACGCCAGATTTCGTAGCGAGTAGGCTACCATTAAAGTAACGGGTTGGAATCTAATCGTTCACATTTTTCTATCGTTGAGTACCTGTTCGTACAACTCACTGGGTTGACATCATAGGTCACATCTTCTCTCTAGAATTTGTTCTTAGTATCATTTCTTACTGTGAATTTCTTGAAAGTTACTTTTACTGGTGATTCAATGAGTAGATTTCAGTTGACAGTCTTATCTATTCATAGATTGACATGACAAAATGTAGGAATATATGAAATGGATAATTCCCGTTAGGAAAACATGAATGTTTAAGTTAATGAAATTCAACTGGAGACCAATCCATGAGGTTTTTCGACGATTTTCCCTTCCATTTAAATAGATGGGGATTAGATCTGTAAAGATGTATTCAGCAGTCGACCAATTCTACCCAGTATAGCAACGGAAGGCTATAGGTAGGATCAAATACCATCTGATACTGGGTAACACCATTCACTGAGGTGCAGCGACGTCAAGCTGACGAGTTCCGTTTAGGACGAAACGAGTGTCTTGGATTCTATTATTAGCCACCAAGCAGATGACAACAAAGATATATTCACCTTGTACAGTTTTCAAAAGTTGAATTGGGCTTGTAAATGAACAGTTCAAGCAGGAATAACGCTTCTAAACAATGCCTGTTTCATCCATTCGCCTGACAAATAGTTGACGGTGCTTCTTAATACCCGAAGAGTAAGTTGAAGACTGACTATAATGCGGTAAGAACAACACTTTATGAGGATTTCTACGTGATTCGTTCGGTTTAAACGTCTACGCAAAATACGAATAATAATTACGATAGAAGTACAACGGTGTCATATTATTTTAGGCAGTCTCTTCTACTGGTTACAACATCCACCATAAGAAGATTACTGGCATGGTTTAGTCGAGTTCACAGAAAGAAAATGACGATTAAAGCGGTGACTGTTAACAAACCCAGAGAATTTGACAAAAGAAGTTAGACGGGGGGGAGGGGAATAAGTTCAAAGGCCATCTCAGGAAACAGGTGAATCACAAATCATGTTACTTTGTTCTGTTCATAGTGATTTCACTAAATAAAGAGACCCAATTAAGGTCAAGCATTGTGAACATCATTGAAAAGTTATGCAATTATGAGGTACATGGATAAACATACGAAAAGGAAAAAACGAAAGATGGAAACGGAGACTACTTAGAGATGGTAGAGGGTCAAAGTTCCCTGAAACCTTTGACAAGGAATTACTAGTCACTGAACATTCGTGAAAAACCATGAACAACTACATATTGACTAAATGTCTTTCAACGAAAATGTAATGTATATAATGTTGAAGATGATATATTATTCACCTCAGGATAAAAGTCAATTGGAGGTTTTATCCTTGGTTCTTAAATTCCATGACTATGGACACAAAACTAGCCAAACCGACACAGATATACACAAACTAAAGAGGCTGCTTCCATCTTCTAACAGTGAGCTAGTTGATAGTTGCCAACAATACAAAAGGTTTACATAGGAAACAATACAAAGAAGCTTTGTCTAAGGTGAGTAAAGACGAAAATCTGATAATAAGTAGATCAGATAAAGGTGAAGGTTTATTGTCTCTGAACAGAAATGACTATTCTTCTTGATGATCAAACAAAGTTCCAAAGACTTGGTGACTCTCCAGACTTAAATAGAAGAGCAGAGAAACAGATAACAAATACTTTTCAGAAACTAAAAGAGAGTAAGACAATTTTTGAGCCGGCGTACAACTACTCACTCAGATTTACAGACAGTAACACATTATGGTTGTATGGTTTACCTAAAGTACACAAACCTGGACTGCTTTTTCGTCCAGTTCTAGGTATGTCTGACTCTTCATGCCAAGCAGTTGTTAAGTGGCTAGTAAGTATTTTACACCCCTTACACAAAGAATTGGTTAACCACAGTGTCAAAGGGATTTTTACAATCTATTTCTAGACTGGATAATGTGAGTGTGTAAACGAGAGACATATAATGTCGCTTGATATCTCATCACCATTCACTAATATGCCATTTATTGGAGACGGTAGAGTTTGTGTGTCAACAAATATTGAGACAGTAAATCAATACCAAGATTACAGTACACATCCTCAAGCAGTTGCTTCTTAGATGTACTATGAATGTACATTTTGTCTTCAATAGCTCAGATTATAAACACATTGATGGGATAGCTATGAGTTCATCACTGGACCTTATTTTACCTGATATATTCCTTGCTGAACTGGAGTACGGAGCATTGGAAGATGTCATTAATGAGATGAATATATATCATTGTTATATTGACACGACACATTCATTATCCTGGATCGAAATGTGGATACAGACTGTGTTAAGAAAATTTAATGACGTGCACTCTTCACTACACTTTCACTTGTGAAGAAGGAAATGCAAGTGAACTAGACTTTTTGGATGTCTTGTTAAGCAGAAGATCATAATGTATAGGTCATTACACACATTTACGTAGTCACGTACGAATTCGGTACAAAGTTAACCTGGTTAAATACCTGACTAACAAGGCGAGATGCTTGGATGATTTCATACAGAAAGAGTTAGAACATATTTGTAATTCACTGATCAAAAGGAGCTATCGTGACAGTTTCATGAGGATACATGGACAAAGCGAGGGGAAATAAGGCTAGAGATGTAGCTGGTGGAGTTTTATGTCAGAGACTCTCTAGAGCCATTAAGAGGACTTTCTACACCGCACAGCTCTGTCTATCATTCTCCAGTTGACAGATTTTTGTTGCTTGGACAAAAGATAAGGTATCCAGTTTTGATATTTCTATGTGTATTTACAAGTTTAGCTGCTCCTGTGGAGAAAGCTATATAAGGTGTACTACTAGATAGCTTAACAAACGTGTCTCTGAGCATCTACCTTCATGGTTATGAAAGAGACATATAAATTCTATCAGTAGTTCAGTTTTATCTCAACTCGTTGATAGTGGTCACTCGAAAGCTAAGAAAAATGCTTTCACGACTACTACCTGCATTTTTCGACAGGTATTCCAAATCGTCTTTTACACCATATACCAGAGACTGGGAATTCGAGCTAATAATCCTAGTTTTTGTATCTAGAAGAAGTTTGTACATCCCTTATTTCTCCCTTCAGCAGGGAAATACCTAGATATTATATTAACAAAGTATTCTGTAAGTTATGTTTTCAAATGGTTTAGAAAACAATAAAGAAACCACACTCATCAGGAAATGAAAGACGCTACTTTTTTAATAATTTCATCGAAAAAGCTGTACAATCGCAAATTTATTCATTTTCTCTTATGTTAACGTTTGACAGTTAAGAGTGGTGTGTGAAATATGCCAACAACTAAATATTGTCAATGCGAAAACTGTTTTATTTTTGTTATTTTTCCATTCAATTCCTAGTGGGACATATGGCTTCGGCAGCACACCTCTATTGCAATCTTTTCTATCCAGTCTTTTCGACCTGGCTCCAAGACTGCCAATAAGCTTTCATTTCTTCCACACACCATCTCCTTCATGTCACACTCGCCTACAACGCCCAACTCCTCGTTTACCCGTTGGATTGCACTCAACGGCCTGGCCTGACGGGTGATGTCCCCAGTCGGCCCTCTCAGTGTATATCCAAACCATCTCAACTCTCTTCTTCTGCATATTTCTTGGGTGATAGGTTCTTGGTTGGTTCATCGCCAGCCAGCCAGAGTTCCTACTTGCTTATTCTTATTATTCTGGCCATCTGATCTTCAGTATCGAGCCAGCTGTTGATGAATGTCTGTAGTTTGTTGGAAATCCCTTGCGTAACACGCCAATTCTCTAAATGAACCATATAGCAGCACTGACTCGACTGGAATAGTGTTGAAAATCCGGATCTTGTCCACGCTTTATGCTGAGTGCAGTAGATCTCCAAACTGATTTCAAATTATTGAAAGCATGTCTTGCTTTTCCGATCCTGGCTGTTTTGATATCCTCATCTGTGCCTGTGCCACCTGTAGTTGAAACGATGCTACCTTGCCTAGGTAGGTGAAAGAGACTACTTCCTTTAGGTTTCTCTCATTAATGGTTATTGGTGCTTGTTGTTGTTGGTTGGGTATCTTCATCACCTCCATCTTCTCTACACTCACTTGAAGTCCCGTTTTCGCTGCCTTGCTTCTTCTGTCAACTTGTTAGTTTTCACCTAACTTATAAACTTATTTATCGTAATTAGACATAAGCTAATCATATGAACTCTTAGTCTTTGCAGAATTGTGACAATCTGTATAGTTGTCATGTCATTCGACATTAAACATACACCTGAAGAGGCAATCTACAAGCTATTGAGAGAATTCGAAGCGATTTCTGTGGACTAATGAGTACGCAATACAATAAAAATGATCGCATATAACTGAGGCATCTCACAAAGAAACAGACTGGATTCGTGAAGACTTCTTATTTAATGTAGGAGGGAGAATCCCAGCCAACTAGTCTTCATCTCTCAAAACAGCTTAGACCAACAGTCAAGGACTTCATGCACTGGTTTAACGTACTGGCCACCCTGAACCCTCTTCCAACCTATTCCAACTTCCCCTAGGTTGACATGTTGAATTAGGCGGTGGCTAGGAATATGCAGAACATGCCGAACCCACCTTAATTAACTAAGTTTCACAACCTCATTAATCGACTTACCTTTTTGCCTAGTACCTTTTACCTGATCTCAACACTGACCACATGATGATTCCATCAAATATGAGCAACGCTGCAAAGACAGTAATAATGAAATGTTAATAAAATGGGAAGTATTGAAAACAATCTTCTTTAAAAAAATTATATTTTATTACCAGATAAATAATGAAACCCAGTCAAACTGATGCGGTTTTTTTCTCCCCAGATGATAAAAACAATGAAAAATTGAAGAGAAAAACAAGCACCAATAGATAAAATGGGAGAGGAGGTTGGAACAGACAGGGAATAGTTGTGTTACTTATTTGTTCAGCGTGTACACGTATAGAAGAATATTGAGATATTGTGTAACTAGCAACAGCATGGATGAAACACATCCATCAAGGCACCGGAATAATATAATAAAAGAGGCATAAAAACAACAAATATCATTAAACCGATGACATTTTATAGAAAGTCAGAGATAAAAATGGAAAGGCGGGAGGAAGAAGAAGAGAAAGGGAATGAAAATGCAACACTCATCCCACTTACCCCAAATAAAGTAAAATAAACTTACTCAATATAAATTAAAAGAATCTAATTTACAAAGACAAGAAGCTGATGTATTTCGTATAGTTCGCTCTGTTACAAAGCTAATAATATATCATCTTGTTGTTCATCTGATGAATTAGATAAGAGTAACTTCTGCTTCTGTTCCACTAAGTCATCATACAGTGATCCATGCTTTTTATTGGTCCCATGATCTGGTGAATCACTTGGCACAGGCATATACACAGGTTCGATTAGATGAGTTTGTCGACGATGACAGTGGAGGACAATGTAATCCTAAACACATAGAGATAATAGTTAGTTCAATAATTACGGGTACTGTTATTCTAAGTAGAAGCATTGATAGACAGACAGACAGACAGAGACAGATAAAATCAACAACGAAGCTCGCATACAAGTCCATCGTCTCAAGTTGCCACACTTCACAGTAATATATACAAAGAGCAGGTGGATAGAATAGGAGTGATATCAAGGTAGAAAAAGCTGTGTGAGACAATAAACGATCGGAAAGTTAACGTTTAACGCGAATATTTATGCTTTAAAAGACGTTAAAGAGTGAATCAATCTGTACGACTGTGACCTCAATCACTTATTCCTATCGTCTCGCGGACCCAAACCAGGCAGTCCACATATCCTCCGTATGGCTCAGACTAACTGATACTGCGTTTTACTCTGGTGACCCTTAATCCTCTCCAATCTTAAACCAACTTCGCCTGGTATGGCATGTCAATGAAGATGGTGGCTCGGCGTTTATACAACATGTCCAGCCAACATCAATCGACTAAGGTTCACAACCGTATCAATCAGTTTTCCTGTCTTGCCTAGTATCCTTCGCCTGACTTCAAAATTACTCACACGGTGATTCCAACACACGCAAGCAATGCTACGAAGACAACCATGATCGAAACCCTGTAACCGCTTTATATCTCCTACTTTTAACAGCCATGCCTCACAACCATTTAACAGGGTAGAACGGTCTGCAGAGCATTATACTCATCCTTTGATTGATAGTCAGATATCTCGTCGACGCCACAGATGACGGAAGTTAGGAAATGCCAGGTGTGATCTCTTCAGCAACCACCCCATCCGGACTGATGCAACTGCCCAAGTAAGTGAAGTGGTCGACGCATCCTACCCTTTCGACCCCCATTCAAATACTCCGAGGAGATGCAGATCAGTCCCGGAGCAACATTTTACCTTTGACAGGTGCAAGCAAAACGCATGACAAATATACTCAGCGGCTTCACCTACCAGAACAATATTATTTTGCATACTCCAAATCAGCCAGATGGCTTCCAGAAAGCAGATCAGTCCACGTGAACTCAGACATACATAGGGTTATATCCATTAATACATATATAACGAAGTTAAATAGGAACGGTGACATTAGGTATCTCTGGTGGACACTAAGAGTTGTCGTCAATTCTGATGACAACTTTCCATAAGCCCTTACATGGCTGTGTGAGTTTAAGTAGAGAGCTTTGATAGAAACTACAAACTTCCTCGGTACCCCTTTTACAGCCAGACACTATCCCAACACCTCACGGTTGACTGAGTCAAATGATGCCTTCAGGTCAAGAAATATGGCAATAGTTGCATTAATTATACTCCTAGTGCGAGGGTCTTTTTTGACACAGAGTCTCATGTACGGGGACGCAGTAAAATCTGATCGAATTTGAAACCAACACACTCAAAAACCAAGCTAATTTGAATTCAACTACACTCCAGTTCTCCTTTCAAACAAACTCGTAATTTCTGTACAAGACAAAGCAACTGATCACCATCAAAGCAAGAAGAACAGAAGTTGCAGCGCATAAATTGTGCTGAAGTTTATTTCACAGCATCTTCTCAGCTGCCAAGAGACTAGAATAAATACAGAATCAGTATCGGATAAAGGTAAGAAACATTATGTTATGTTGATACAAAGTAATCATGTATATTAGGATATAGCAAGCAAAATATCGGTTGAAGAGTATTAACAATGCAGATGATGGCGGTGATACTGTCATAATTCATAGGTGATCGACAGTTCATAAAGCAATGCTACATTAATCCTCATCTCTTTCTCAACACATAGGTCAGGTTTAAAACGGTCATTGGTTCTGTCAAACCAAGTAACATGGAGAAAGGTTTGTGTTCGATTTAGTATTTTAAAGGTTGTATATTCATCCACACTGCGTCTTGAATCGAACGAATGGTGAGTGGTTGAACGTATGGGTGAATTCAAGCTATTCAGTACCCTAGCAGATGGCTGCTACCTTGCCGTTGTGGTCAGCCTTGTGTATCACAATGACCCAAAGCTGTTGGGTAGTGATAAGATGAAAAGCAGCTACCGTTGTAGTGTTACCTGCTACACTATGATTGGGGGTCCGAGGACAAAGTTGTACTGCTGGCTGGACAGGTGTGACAGTAATAGTTTTTCCCTTGAATGGCCAACAACGTCATGCTGGTGTTATCTTCCCTATGGTGGGGAGTCAGAATGGGTAGGCCCCCAAAATAGCACAGTCCTCTCTGTCACATGATCTTCTGGTGCCGGAAGTATGAATTTCCTCTGTTCAGTGTTAGAGCAATCACATCCCACACCAATAATCCTCAAAACCCTATATGTGACAGGCCTAAAGCAGATGTTTCATAGGCTCTGCGGTCACACAGGTCTTTTTCTCGGTCAGGTACTTTAAGAAGAAATAGCATGTGGAGCCATAGAGGGAGGGAGATGATGTCAACCATCCGCACGCTTCCAGTAGCATTCAGTCGCAGGCTATTTGGAATATGTTCAGAAAAACAAAAACACTTGCTGCAGCAAGTATATTTGAAGTCGTATATAGAGGTGGCCAGCTCCGCAGCCACACAAGTTTTGACAAGATAGGCTCTGAACCTTCTGTCAACCTGGTACATCCATATTTCCCAATGTACACAATAGATATTATGCTTAAACACAAGCACATGTTTCTCACTTTAATCCTACACTAATTCTGTGTGTATTTTAGGCTGTATAAAACTGAGGAGAAGCCATGGACTTTTACTCTTCAAATCATGTTCTTCTGGTTTTGGTAGTAATGAATTACATCTCGACACCCGGTTCAATCATCCATATCTATAAATATACTAGTATCACTATAGAGAACAAAGAATAACGCTATAGCGATAACAAGAATTAATAACTAGTCACTTCGACTAAACAGCTACGACTCGAACTTATGACTGACCAACTAGTAAGTTGGGTATATTCACAAATTAGGAATAGAGATACACCTTAAAGTTCAAATCCTTGCCAATGTCAAACAAATGGAAGGTCAATTTGAATTCAATTTCACTGCTATTTACTACATGTTTAGGCCAGTTTTTAACGTCAGTTTATACGAACGTGAAAATACGAATATTGAACATTCCGGTGGTATTATTCTAGCTCTTACAAAGTACTTAAGATTTGCAGGTGCCTATTACATGAAGCTGGAAGGATGTACTCAGCTGTGTTAGCTTGCATATCATCAGACAACCAATAACTGATTAGGTAGTTGCAGTTGATTTAAGCCACAACATCTTGTTCTCAGTGACATTTGAAATAATGATTTAGTTCTGTGAAAAGAAGTGATTTTTGCTTGTAGATAAAACAGAGAATAAGAATAGCGGAGTTAAGGTTCAAACCCACGACCCACTACCTGGAATTGAATTTGTGTGTTGAGACCACTGCACTATAACTCTACAATTTTTACATAGTACAACTCTGTGTATGTGTGAGTAGGAGGGGGGGGGGATTAAGTAGGGCCAGTTGCTTGAAAGTTGAGTGTTGAAACTAGTGAGCTATGGTAAGCCAAAATGGTGCTTATTTTAGCAGTTTAAAAAGAAAAAGGAGAACTTAGTTAGGTTGTTATTAGCTTGATCTTAGCTGAAATTGGAGAAGAGAATGCCTAATTTGCTCCGATCGGGTGCCCGAAGTAACTTCAGGCACACTTACCAAATTTCGGGTATGTCCCCTAAATTTTTCATTTATTTCCGTTGGCTGTTTCCACTTAATTGATTTTTAATACATAACAAACGCGGCAATGAAACGTGGACGATATATATATAATTATATTACCAAATATGGTATCTTAGAACTGTGGATATGAGTTATTCCCAAAGTTAGGGCGCATTGCCTACACTTTGTGAACTTCGGGCACGCCTATGAAAGACCCTAAGTTTTGAGATTACTGCAGACACTTTGAGTAATGCCCAAAATTTTTTATGACCTTAAAACCATTGAATCGCCCTTTTAGTACGCTGAGATCGGTGATTGAGAGCGCACTTCCTTTTCACAATACTACGTACCGTGGTGATGAGTTGTTGTTCGGTGATGATGTGATAAGTAATTGGGTTTCTCATGCAGTTCAAAAGTTTCTGTTTGATTTCCTTCAGTCATTTAATGCATTTACTCTCTTGAAAGACAAGGAATGGATTAAATAATAAACAGCTGCTTATGGAATGGATGTATGCACAGTCACAGAAAAAGGCGAAGAAGCTGGGATTTGCGTATGGCTTCCTAGTCCGGACTCGGATTCAACCTATGTAGTTCCTAATATGATACGGTGCTACTAATCAAATCAGAAATTTACGTTTTAAAATAAGGTTGTGAACGTTCATCGAATGAAGTGGCTTGGACATATGATGCCGAGCCAACGCCTCCCTCGATGTACCATGCTGTATGAAGTGGGAGTAGATTGGAAGAAGGTTCAAGGGAGTCAGACCGGACCAGTACGTGGGACTAGTGCATGAAGTCCTTGATTATTGTGGTCTGAGTTGTGTAGTGGTCCCCAAGAATATAGCAATCAGTGATTGAGGACTATTTAATGAAATAGCTGAAAATCGGTTATAATGACGCAGATACATTCACTCCTTGGCGTATTCTAAAGCGTGAATTTTTTGATTACCTTTAATTTTAAGATTCCCTCTTATCCTATACACTCTTGTTGACTGTGATATCGGTCCTTCGTATACTACTGTGAAGTGTGACGAACTTGTGCACAAGGTTCTAAGTTGATTGTGTCTATCTGTCAGTCTGTTATGTTTCGATTCAAATATGATCATCATTATCAACATAGGACCATGCATTATTGCGTAACGGTCCGAGTTGCCACACCTCACGTCAGTTCATCAAGTAAAAAGGTAGTGAGGTGAAGGATGAAGATAAGTGAATGCAGTCAAAAGAAATATAAAGTACGAGAAGAAAGAAAAGAGGAGTGACAAAATGGTGAGATTCGGTATAGCCTCCTTAAGATGAGGACAATGTGTGTATACATCTGCGCCACTGACTTCGGTTCTGAGCCATATCACCTACAGTCTCCAACCACTGGTTCCTCTTGTCCCCACCCCCCACCAACCCCAACCACCTAGTCTGCATCGTCCTACATGGCTTAAACCAACAGTCAGAGACTTCATACATTGGTGCCATGTTTTAGTCTGGCCACTTCGGGCCTTTTTCCAGCCTGGACCCACCTCAGCCAACATTTACGACGAGGCAATCGGTGACTAGGCAGGCATACGTAGTACGTGTCCCAACCATCTCAGTCGATGAAGGTTCACAACCTCGTCAACTGACTTACCTCTTCTCCCTAAAACTCTACACCTAACTTCTGCATTACTCACATGGTGACAGCACGGAATACGTCCTATACTACGAAGGCAATGGTGGTCAAACACCTGAAGCCTTTTTATATCTTCCACTTTCAATGGCCATGTTTCACAGCCATACAGTAGAACAGAGCGGACTGCTGTGCAGTACACGCGACCCTTAGTAGACAAACGAATATCACGGCGGCGCCATAGGTGGCGTAAATTGGCAAAAGCCAATCGAGCCTTTTGTATCTGTGCAGAAATCTCATCGGCGACTAACCCACCGGGGTTGATCCTACTTCCCAGGTAGGTGAAGTGGTCAACACACTCAACCACTTCACTCTCTATTGTTAACCGCGGTACCGCTGAAGACCAGTCCTAGAGCAAAAATTTGCATTTGGGTGGTGAAAATCGCATCCCAAACATTCTCAAATTCCCACTCAAAGTGTTTAGAAGACTCTACATCTTGTCAGAGTCTTCACCTAACAGGACTATGTCATCTGCATATTCTAGATCTAAAGAAAATTCACCTGTGATTGGGTCAACGTCTGTGTAATTAGGTGACGAGAGGGAAACCTCCAAATATGATGTCCAACACTAGTTTTACTTAATCAATAATTTCACCAAATACCAACAACAATGGTGAAAAAACCAACAAGCTTGTCATTTTACACTTTTTGATGCGTGATGTATCTGAAGGAGTTATGATATGCCATTGCATCATACTTTGTTTCATAATGAACTGTTGACTGGTAGATTAACATAGTATATGCATGATCTAGTAAATTTATGGTAAAAAAAATTGTTGTATGAAATAAAGTAAACGATATGATAACAAATGATATATCCTGATCGGTAAACATCTCAACAACACAATGAATGAGATTTCCACTTGGATTAGGTTAGTAAGACAAACCAAACAATGTACTGATGCAATGTAATTAAGGAATAAACAGATAAAAATCACTAAATAAAAACAATTTTACTGTAGTATCATTGATAGCTAGGTAAGTGGGATAAAAATAACTAGTAAAACAAGTACTAGTGGAATGTTTCGGTTGTCAATGGTCAGGAGACTACGAAAGGCAGCATCTATATACTTGACAATTGTGATCTTCAAATCGAATAGAAATGTTTTCAGTAACTATGTGAAGCAGTCAGTGAATCATACATCTATTGTGTAAGGTTTAATGATAGCACCTAGTTGTCCAAATCACAGTGAGCGTAGTGGTGTACAAACCCGTGACTGTCTAAACCAATTAAAGATTCTAAAGATGATAACCTTTGGCTATAGTATTGAGTGGCATAAACAATCTAGCCATCATAGGCTATTGATAGCCATTTTCACTCATAATATAGTAAATTTAATGCTATCAAGCTAAATTAATTCCAATTACAATAACAACTTGAAATATTTCCAAATCTCCACAACTCCCTCAAAATTCAATTCAACTGGTGCTCATTGGTGACTGGCTTCGAGAGGTAGTCCCGAAGTTCCAATGACAGGTTGTGTTGTGACCGGTGGGGGCAAAGCTTGATGGTCGTGATGACAGTTACTCAACGATGACATTGGGTGGTGGCTGAGCTATATCAATCCCTGGCGGTGTCGTGGGTGCACACTGCTGAGGAGTCCCATATTAGTCGGACGAAACAGCTTTCCAGTGCTCCCAGGTTTCTTTTGTTCCTCCAACTAATGTCAGTCTATGATGAATAACAATTTGAAACAAAAAATAAGCATAATAATGAGGCAAAAAGAGATTTTAGAAATAGCTCACTTTGAGTCGATTGTTTAAATTTTCAAATGTATCAATATATGGGATAGATTCATACCATGATCGTCTATATAAGCATCTTTTCAACAAACAGCTTAGTATACAATATCCAACAATGAGAACTGAACAGCTACAGATAAATAAAAAGGTTGAAAAATAGTGTAGATACAACCTTGAAGTTATGTGGTATTTATTTTTTTTTAAAAGTCAGTCACAGATTCTGATCAACATTAAATGTTGGATATCAACAAGTATAAGTTATTTTTTCACAGCTTCAAACAACTGATTTGAAGGTTTAGGTGTATACACTTTGGACTTTGTAACATTATAGATTAAAACGCATAACAAAATATAAAAGTTGAATAGCTCAGTACTAAATGTTCGGTAGAAAAAGACAAAGATAATTCACTTCAAGACATTCACTTTTGAACATTCAGTCTGTTTTGATCAAATAGAAAAGTCAATGAATGATAGTGTCACTTTTTTTAACCTTAAAAATCACAGTATGTGATATCGTTTTGTTTCTCTTCAATAAATTTATCATCTTTCCTCATCGTTTTTAAAGTGATCATTTAGCTTTACGGTTACCAGTATGATAAGCTAGCCGTAAGCAGTTTATTCTTTGTAAACATTTGCTGATAAAAATACATACAGTAAGTAGATGCAAATACTATAAGGATAAGACCTTAGTTTGACAAACAGGTAGATCAAGCAAGGTATGATGATATCGGAGACATAGTTAATACACAACCCAACCTTTTGGTACTATTTACCAATGTGTACATCAAAAATGCCAAACTAACCCAACAAAAAATCTTTGATGTCCAAGCTATTATTTGGGGTTTGTCAGCTGGATGTATCAGTGAGAAAAATATCACTCACTGGGAAGTAGGGATATCCAGCTGACGAGTCCCAAATAGGACGAAACGCACGTCATGGATTCCACTGTTAACCACTATCCATCATTAACAGCACAGCAATGTTGTGGATCTTGTGGTAGTGTTAAGACCGGTATCTTTTATAGTACTGTTTGGATAGTAAATGCATTTTTACAAACAATGCATAAGTGTTATTTGAATATAAGCAATTGGCAGGAAGTCTTGGACCTAGGTTTCGTGCCTTCTGGCACTCATCAACAAGGCGTATCTGCAACTTCGACGGAACTGATGTCCTGTTTGAGGCTTGAACCCGCGTCACCCGGTAATCAACTTCATGTTTTCTAGCACTCGAGTGACTAGTCAATGTACACAACCCAGTCCCACAGTAGCGAAGTCGCGGCCCTAATAGCCTATTGGTAACGTCTCCGTCTACAGCATTAGGTGACGCGGGTTCGAATGTCGGGCGGAACATCAGTTCCGTGGAGGTTGCAGATACGCCTTGTTGCCAAGTACCAAAAAGCCCGAAACGTAGGCCAAGGACTTCCTACCGATTGACTTCATCCAACTAATATCTACGTCAGTGTGTTGCGAAGGGGAATCTCCTAACCCATAGAATTTCATCAGCACTCAGAGCTAAACAACATGAAGTCAGTTACCCTCCAATGACCAAGCAATTTACATTGGACAATTATTAAAACCAGATTGTCCTTTTTGCCCACAGAGCTGCATTCTGATGAGTAACACCAATTTTACACGAAAACCAAATAGAACAATTATGATAGGTGTTTACAAGATCTATAGTTAACAGTGAAAACCTTAACAACTTAATGAAAGCTTAGTTGCGCAATTTGTATCGTATCTCTTTATGAAAACAAAAATGTTTCACCTACACTAACTGATTCCCATAAAATCTAGTACATCAAAAACAATATAATCGGGCAGCAAAGCCTTGGAAACACACTCTCAAACCTTGTGCACATCCGTATATGATGGGTAATGATACTACTTGGCTACCCAGTTCTTGGTAGTTGGAGCGGCGTTCGAGCCTGTAACCCATTGGTTGGAAGTCAACTGTATAAACAAATGGGCCATAGCCTACAAACTAATCTTTCCAAACCATCCGCAAGGATTATGGAATCCTGCAGTTAGTGAGGCAATCTATAGTGACCTTGACATGTAAGTGACTTAATTCTTGGCAGTTAATAGTTTTTCAAAGTACATAAAGGAATATCACTAATTATCGACAGGAAGATGCACTGCTGTGAGGAAAATAAAGTGTTGAGTTTCTTTTTAGCCTACAAACTTTTATGAAGCTCAATGCAGTGTCAGTGTCATCATTTCCTAGTGATTATTAACGTTCATTTCTGTGTATTTTTGAAAAATGATAGATAAGCACCGGTAAAGATCCCTTTAGAGAAGCAAATAATTAGAAAATCTTTCCCATAAATATCGAGTTAAAATTCTTAACACACATTATTTGAAATAAGGCATTAGTAACTAGCCCAAAACTTACAGAGGTAAATCAGGAGTGTGAAACAATGATATATTTTATCGAAAAAGAGCAGCATCAGTCGTACACAAGGAGGATGATGCCATCTCAAGTTTGCTATATAAACAGCTCTGAAGACCATAGCAGACTTTCAGAGAATGATTAATAACGGCTAGTGGATCTCACCAGCCTCTCTATGAATAATAAGTGCACGGGAACGCATTACTGAAATCTACCAGCACAATGAGGACAGGAATAAACTCGAATGCAGACTTACAAGAAGCCTACACAATGATTGAGAGCGCTGATAAGTGGTGAACGCTAAATAGATGGAAAAGGCAGCGGCGATAGGTAACAGTAAACAGCTACTGAGATATAAAGCAAACTGCAGCTAAGATATCAGTGATCAGTGCGACTGTAGTGGAGAAGCATGGGTCTGTGATTCATTCGCAGGGGAGACAACCAAAACGGTGGGCAGAACACTACGAGGAAAAGTTTAACTGGCCTCAAGCTACTATTTAATAGCCCGATATCCAGTCGCATTCGCAACGGAACACAGGATCTCCAACACTTTCAGAAGTTGAGAAAACCGTAAGTAGTCTGAAAGAAGGAAAGGCAACAGGACAAAAAGAACTAGTGCCTGAGGTATTCAAAGACAGTTGTATAGGATCATTAGTAAAATTAACTGAAGTGTCACCTATTGCATGAGAGTTAGATATGACCAACTCTGAATGGTCTCAATCACTGATTGTCCGAGTCCTCAGGAAAGGACAGAAATCCTATTGTGATAACCAGAGCGGAATCAGCATGGCGAACATAGTGTCTGAGATACTAGGCTCTATAATCATCAGACGTCTGAGTGGAGCTCGAAAACATCAATCACAAGGAGATCAGAAAGACCTCAGACCTGGTTGTGGGTGCATTGACAAGATATTTACACAGGCACACATACGACGTATAATTCTTGATCTAAAGGTGGCATTTGACTCCTTCAATTAGGTTTTATGGCAGTATTCCTCATTGAAAAGGGGGCCGAATAAGTAAATCACTCTGTTGAAGGCCATGAACTTGAACACCCGTGGGTGTGTTAGAGCATATGGTAAGGTATCAGGCGAGTTAAGTACGTCCAGTTGTGTATCAAGGATGTGAACTCTAGTCAGCTTAACTTAATTTTGCCATAAACGCACTTATAAAGGTCTTCCTCTTCCCGTCTGATTTTACAGGGATTGAACTTGTCACAGGAAACTCCTTAGTAAATTGATTTAGGGTACGCAAATGAAATAGCCGTTTTAAGTGAAGTCACTGACAAGATGCAGTCTTTAAGACACCTTGATTTGCAATCTCAGAATGTTTCCAACCTCCCAATTGCAAACTGTTGCTCCAGGAATGATTTTTACTACGGCTCTGTCTAACATTATGGAATGAAACGGTTGAATGCACTGGGCATTTCACTTACCTAGAAGGTCAGGGCAACCCCGGTAGATCAGTGTCTGACGAAATTTCTGAACGCAAAATTATACCATATATAGTGCAATCGTGATATCCGATTGATTACTAAAGGCTATGTACTGTGCTGCAATTTGCTCTGTTCTACTAAGTGGCTGAGACATAGCCATTAAAGATATGAGAAGGCTTCTCAATTTTTACCACAATTGTCTATAGCATAGACCATACTTTGTAGTGACCACGTAAGATAGAAATTAGGTATAGAGTTTGAGGTGGACGCTGATCAACTGAGTTGTTGGACACCCTGATTTTTATGGCCAAGGATCGATCTTGTTGGCGTAGATGTATATACACATTATCTTCATCTTAATCGTTCAGTATTCTCACTTCTCTTTGTTCTATTTTGATAACTCACAAACAATTACGACTTCTTTCTTCTTGGCTTCAACATCTTTCACCTTGGTGCATCCTCGCCTGATGTGCTGATACGAGGTGTGGCAACCCCGACCGATACACAGTAATGTGAGATCCTATGTTGATATTATCTGTACAAACTTTGTACAATTTCATTCTTTCAGCATGGATATCATACAAGATAAACTTTCCTTTTATTGCTGACTCGTTGCTGCACGTTGATAAATTGCATCACAAACCTTTTTATGTAAGAACAGTAATTAGTTTCATAAAAGGTTACACAACGGTAACATGGATACTGAAACCTGCATTTTTTGCATATTTTGTGGGGATACACCATTTTTAACGACATAGTAGCTACATAAGCACACACATAAATACAACTTTAATGTACGTTTATTTATCATATACAGTTTCATATTATTTACTAACTCACAAGAAAGATGGAAATTAAGTGTACCAATCAAGTAATGATATCTAAATTAGGTATGAGTAAAAAGAGATGTGAATTGATCTCAGCAGATAATTCACAATACATATGTTAATGTTTCTCATTTAGTTTATGAATACTTGGAACAGTCGTAGAATTAAGTAGCCCTAGTAATTATTGATGAACATGCAAATTACACTTTACTACTCAAGGCTTTGACTACTCTAGGTGTTTAACAGATCATTTTTCATCGTCTATTTCCAAGCTTACAGATGTATTTAGTCGATCTGATTTAACGCACACACAATGCTCATGGTGCTATTTGAATACTGTAATTAGGTGGCGGTTACGACTTTATGCAAAACCTACGCAACACTGAGGATCATCTGGATTCGGTACGCAGGCTAGATTATCTTAGCCAGGATAACATTGCTTATCTTTAGCAGAAATAGCAATGAAAGTTTTGAAGGATGCAATGACGCAATAGCAGAATGATCATAAAACATACCAAATTAATATGACGACCAGGGTGTATAGCACAGACTGGTGGATCCCACAAAGACTAGGATGGAATAAATCGAAGATATATGATTCTTCACCTTCGTGACTAACAAGATGGAAGGCTATCTAAAATATACATATACTTCATTGTAATGACTTACGGCACTGCCACAACCGAGAATCAGCTCTGCTAAGTTTCCAGAGTCGTTGAATCTTATCACATATCGATTATCTTAAGAAGAGTTAGCTAATTTGGGCATTACCTTCATATGCAAGCTTAAAGTTTATGAAAGATCCGATTTCTGTAACTTCGTCATCACCTACAGCAATAAGTGATTGATTTATGGTAAGCGAAGAGTTGTCATTCATTCTGAATCCACATACACTAAAATGATAGTCCACCTTGTCATCGGACTCATCAGAAAGTCTGAAACATTTCAAAAAGAGAAAAGAACCCTACAGAATTCCAGTGAGTTCGCGAAGAAATAATATGTCCTTCCGTAAATTGCAATCCTTAATAGCACTAATTAATGAAGCATTTTTTTCAGCCGAAACAGAAGGGCTGGGAAATAAGTAAAGAGAATACAGGGATAGCAACAAATGGGTTAGCATAACAACCAATAACAAGTTGTCAGTAATTTACAATAGCACCCTGTTTAGTTAGCCGCTCAAAATAGTACTCTCCAATTTCCAATATCCAACATCCAATATCAATAGTGAGAGTTGAGGAAACTTGTAGTTTTTGTGCTCTCACTTCTAGATCTTGAGACTCGGCTCTTTTCGCTTGATTGTACTATTTTGATAGTCGAAAAAGTCTTTGCGTTTTTATTACTTTGAAGGTAGTGTATCCAATATCCAATTTTGATTGTGCGAGCGTAGAAAACTGATAGTTTTTGATCTCTCGCGTCTACTTCTTAGGGCTTGGTTCGAGTTGTTCGGTTCACTCCTGCAGTGGACGAGGAAATCCCCTCTGCTTTCTTGCTTTTAGCTTCGGTGAGGCGGATGTTTTGTGGGTTAGTAAGTTGTAATTTGTAGAGTGATTGGGGAGCTACGGGTTTCTGGGACGTTTAGGGAACTGCCATGACTCCTGTCTGTGTAGGTACCTGAAAGAGAATGGTAAGGTAGTGGTAAAGGAATGAAGAGAGAATGGTGAGATAAAAAAAGAAGAAAATAATGATAATATAGGGAAGAGAAAAGGGAAGGAGAAGAAAAGGAGTGAAAAGAGAAATAAGAACGAAAGAAAAGTATTTGGGAATTGCCCGAATGGTCGCGTGGGTTTGGTTCCTACAGAAGAATTAGTAGGTAATGTGGGTGTATTAAGGAGGGAGATAGTGAGTGGTAGTTGGGGGAGTGAGGTTGGTGACTACCTGAGTACGTCCGTGGTAGTCCATGCGAGGTGACATAACTGTCTAATCGCCTCTTGAAAGAGTCGATTGAAGGAGCTATAACGATGTGTCGCGGTAAGGCATTCCATAAAGCACATACTCTCAGGGAGAAAAATTTGGACCTGAGTGTGGTGTTGGCTCTCTGGTGTGCTATCTTAAAGGGGTTTCCTCGTGAAGATCGTTCAGTTGCAGGCAAAATTGATTTGTTTGCATGGTCTGCCTGATGGGCGATCTTGTATGCCATAATGAGGTCACCCCTTTTCCTGCGATAACCCAAGGTAAATAGGTTGAGGTGTTTAAGTCTTTCAGGATACGTCTTTCCCCTTAGCCCCACAACACATTTTGTTGCAGTTCTTTGTATTCTTTCAAGGAGATTAGAGTCTCTCTTGAGTGTTGGAGGAGCCACCGTATTGAAGACCTCTAGGTGCGGCCGCACGTAGGATTTGAAAATGGTGAGGAAGAGTTCGGGAGTGAGGGCGCCAAGCTGTCTACGCAGAAAGTGTAGAATGGCGTTCGCTCTGGTTGTCATACCTTTGTAGTTGGAGCTGGTGTCCAAGGTGTCGGAGAAGTTGAGCCCCAAATCTTTCTCCATGGACACTCTGGTGATAGCACGGTTGCTCAACATGTACTGGAAGTCGGTCGTACTTGCCTCATTTTTACTGATGTGCATTACTTTGCACTTTTCCAGTTGAAGCTCAGGCCATTTTCCGACGACCAGAGCTCGAGTTGCTGCAAGTCCTTTTGTAGTGCTGTGCAATCGGCTTCTTCGTTTACCACCCTCCAAATTTTTATGTCGTCAGCGAAGAGGAGGATGGGTGAGGATATTTTGTCTGGCAGATCGTTGACAAACAGGAGGAACAGAAGCGGTCCTAGGATTGCTCCTTGGGATACTCCTGACGTCGACGGTCTCCACTCCGACCTTATTCTGTTCACTTTAGTGCAGAACTGCCTCCCTTCCAGGTACTCCTTGAACCAAGAGAGTAGGGGTCCACTTATACCAGCTGACATGATCTTGTGAAGCAGTACTGTGGGTGGGACACTGTCAAATGCTTTGGCTAGGTCGAGAAATACAACATGTACAGGTTTTCTATTATCCCAGCTTTGTGTCCAGTCGTCCCAGGGGTTAGTAAGTTGGTGGCACATGAGCGACCACTACGAAAGCCGTGCTGAGCAGTGTGGACAGTGTTTTCTCTATTGAGGAATTCCCAGATGGTGTCAGCTACCAGGCTTTCCAACACTTTCGACACAATAGGGAGTAGGGCAATCGGCCTGTAGCTGCCAGGGCTTTTTCTGTCTCCTCCCTTGAAGATGGGTGACAAGATGGCACTCTTCCATTCTTTAGGGAGTTTGCACGAGTCTATTGAGTGCTCAAAGAGGTTGCGAAGTGGTTTGGTAAGCACCTCGGCGCAGTTTTTCAGAACCACTGGTTTCAGGTTATCGCAGCCAGGGGACTTGCCCGGACGTAGCCTAGATAGCTTCTCGAACACCTTTTTCTCTGTAATAGAGACGTGACAGAGGTATTCGTTATTTGCGACCTGGTCGGTGTCGTGGCGAGTCGGTGTGGATCTTGTGTCAGTGCTGAGTTGGGCTTGGAAGTGTGAGCTCAAAAGCTCGGCAATCTCTAGACTGCTTAGCACACTCCCGTCATGGCCTGTGACAAGATTCACTCCCTTACTGGTCGACTTTCTTCTTGACATGAAGCGGTACAGGTTTTTGGGGTTGCTTTGTAACCTCGCTGCCAAGTTTGTTTGGTAGGAAAATCTGTCGTTACGCACTCTAATGTTACAGAGATTGCGAATCCTTTTGTAGTTCAAGAAGTCAGACTCCCTGCGTGATGTACGCCACTTGAACCAAGCCTGCTTCTTGCTCCGGATAAGCCTCTCTGTCCCACGCTTTAACCATGAGGTTCTCATTGATTGTCTGTGTGTTACTTCTGGTACACTGTGACTGATGGCCCCAGTGATTATTTTCTTCACCTCCAACCAGTGTTCATCTATTGTGAGATGAGTCCAGTCCACTGGCCATGATGCATTCATGAGGTAGTCCCTCATGGTCTCATAGTTGGCCTTGCTGTAGCAAGGGAAGGTGTTGGGCGTCTCCAGTTGCAGAGCCTCCCTAGTTATCATGGAGAAGGTGATTACAGCGTGGTCACTGAGGCCAAGGGGAGGTTGGATGCAAACATCCTCAATGAGAAGTTCATCGTTCGTCAGAACGTAGTCAAGGCGCGATGCGTTTCCGTTAGGTCCCCAGCGTGTAGCATCACCCACTTTCTCTGAGAGGCCAGCAGTCTTAATTGCATCCTTCAGCTTCTGATTGAAGGATCTGATGCGTCTCCCTTCCGTCTCGAAGAGGATGGACGGGGTGTTGAAGTCGCCGGCAATGACTACGGAATCGTAATTTGCAGAGGAAGTCGTTAAGATAGCCTTGATGATCATTTCCTTATGTGTAGGGGAGCAGGTGGGGGACCGATATATGACTCCGAGCAGGTATTTGGTACTGTGGAGAGTGAAGTAGCACCATAGGGACTCTGGGAGCTGGGTTAAGGCCGTATCGCTAACCATCCTTGCCTTTAAACAAGAGTTTACGTAGATAGCCACTCCCCCTCCTGCTCTATGTTCCCTGTCCCTGCGGAAGAGTTCCATGCCAGTAACATGCATCTCTTCGTCGGAGATGTCGCGAGAGCCAGGATTCGGTGGTGAATATGATGTCGGAGTGCTGATGTGCACGCAGCGTCCTCATTTCTGCTACCTTCCCTCTTAGCCCCCTAACGTTGCTGTACATACATATTAGAGTGTGCCTGGTGAGGGGGAGGTCTGGTTGTGTATTTTCGCGGGATGGCGCTTATGTGGTTGGGTCTACCCTCGCCAGTCCTCATAGGACTGGCATTGTTCCGTTTTTTGTTTTTTTCTTAACTTGGGTGGGGGCTGTGGCAGTGGTGGCTTCTTTACTTGATGTATCTAACTCACTGGTCAGCGCCTGTGTGACGACCACTGACTCCAGAGGTCTTGGTGGTTGCCGTCTCTCCTCTTGCCTTGTGGGTCTAGGCTTACTTACGTATTGAGCCACCCATGCGATCCTTCGCATTATACCATGCCTGTAGAACGTCTGTGAGGGAGGCATATGAGTCGAACTGGACGGCGAGTAGTCTGGGATTGGGTATGGTCTTCAGGTGCGCTGGCCTTGGCAGTCTACTGACGCTGTTGGCCGGTATACTGTTGAGACCAACTTTGGTTGAGAGCCATTGCCATTGTTGGACGTCGTGAAAGTACCGATCTTTGACCGAGCGGTCACTTGGCAATTCTGGAATCCCATGTACAACTATAGTGTTGTTTCTGTTGGGATTTCCAACCGCTGACTTTCTCTCCTCCTCTCTTATTGACCATGGCTTGTCAGGCCTGGCCCGAATTTTACAGGCATTAACAACGTCCGGTTGTCGCGAGAGGAGGAGTGTGTCTTCAGCCTCTTTGGCGGTATTTAGGGACACACGTAAAGGGGGTGGCTTATCTCGGGGTGCACGGCTTCCTCGAGAAAGGCGACACAAAGTTGCAGGGAGGGGAGGGAGTCCCAGCATCTGACAGTAGTCGGTCCACATTCGGCTGTCAAACCGTTCCCTCTCGACCAACAATGAGTCTGTCGATACATCGACGTTGAACAAAATGATCGAGTTGGTCCTCCTGTGACCTGGGTTCGTTGTGGGTGGCACGCCCGACTTCCCAATGGGTTTGAGTAATTCCACTGGTTGTTTCTCAGTCACGGTGTGTGGGGTGTTTGGAATGGGTTTCGTAGAGGGTTAGGCGGTCGATGTCTTTGGCCATGCGCTTGACGTCCCCCGGGGCCGGGTAGGAGGTATGGAGACTTGACCTAATATGGTCCCCACGCGAGGTGGCGTGTCTGCAGCTGGAGCTCTAGGTCTGTTTCCAGGTCTCTCTGTGTTATCCTTTGGTGTTAACCCTACTTTATTCGAGGATGCTGGTAGCTTTTGCGTGGCGGAGAGCATCTCCTTCAGGCTTTCTGTGCGGAGTGCGGGCATTTTCCTGCACTCTGGACAGATGTACCAGAACCACTTGCATGGTTGTCTCTTCATCAGCTTATAGTATTGTCGGGGGACTTTGGTGTCGCAGTGGCAATGCGCCCATCGTTGACATAGGTTGCATGCAAATGCCTCATCGACTACCGAAACAACTTTGGTGCAAACACTGCAGCCATCGGGTGTCGTAATACAGCCTTCCTTCCATGAATAAGGTGCTACGGATTGTGGCGAACTGCTTGTGGCTGCCTTGTTCTGAAGCCTTTTACGTCGTCTTCTATTTTCAGGCATGGTATGATCCTTGCTCAAGATAGGACTAGTTTGTGACGGGCTAGTGCTACTCTGTGTCACCTGTCTGATGGCGACTGGAATTCTAGAAACATGGGTTGGCCACTT